TTTTTTTTTTTTTTTTTTTTTTGAATGTTTTCAAAAACATCATTTTGAATGTTTTCACATTTTGACCGTGTTTTTAAAACGGAGCAGTAAAAAAAAACAAAAACATTCATCAAATGTCTCTTTGTTTCTTTTTTTGCCATAAAATGAAAACAAATACTAAAAAAACAAAAACATGAAGTTACCAAACGGCACTTTAGTCTATATGTTCATGGCGTTGTATATGTACTGTGTAAATTTTCAAAGCTTAGTTGGCTTCACAGAGACTGGAGTCAAATATGGCTTGTCAGTGTTGATGAAATTGAATGCAATGCTTCTGTGTTGGGTTTATTTAGTTTTCCATAATGTTTATGGTTTGATATCCTAGAGTTCATGTGGTTCGATACCTGTATGTGTCAATTTCCCAATTCAGGGTCGAGCTTCTAGTATATGATGTGCCACTATTGTTATAGCACCTCTAATTTCTATGTATGTCCTATTGAAGTTGTTTGAAAACTGGCTTATGATATTCTGGCCTCGCCTTTTCTTTCTGGCATATCAGTGAGTTCCATTGCCAAACTTTTCTCTTTTGGATCAAATATAACTAAAATGTTTGGCAATTACATTTGCTTATAAAAGTGATGTTCGGAATGTGTGTAGAGTAGTCTTTTTGTTTTGTTTGACTGGCAAATTTTCTTAGTAGTGCAAACATCAAAGCACAGATAAGACGGTGATATTTTCTAAGAACATTAACAGGAAGTAATCCTCTTCTTAGGAATCCCCCTCTCTTTTCTCCGCATAGGTGCTTATTGTAGATTTGGAAGGTGTTGCCTCATTTATACTTTTTACAATTTTTCTTGCATATTTGTAATCTTTTACCACTTGCATGGTAGTTTTGCCATATTTTACTAGGTCTTCCGTTTCACTGGCTTCCCGAAGGCAGGACTTATGAAGTCGAAAGNAATAATTGTAATTCATGGTTGATGATGCCCTTTAGTTGTAACTTATACTTCAAAAAATTGAAACAGTACAGTTAAAAGTACCATAGACTTCCCTTTACCTTTAAGGCAAAAAATCCAAGAAATTCAACTATTTGAAGATTTTCAAATTATCAATGCACTCCAAAAGATGAACATTCTCATATTGTACCCCCAATCATATCATATAAAAAAGGTATAAATGTTTTTAATAAAATTGAATAGCACACAAATAATTATATATATAAATATAAAAATATAGCAAAAACAGTTGTTGGATAAAGCAAAATTTTGTTTGATTTTGAACCACATTATATTAATACTTTTTTTTATATATATAATTGAGGGTGTAACGAGGAAATTTTAATTTTCATACTGCAAATTGAGAACTTGACTATCTTTTGGGATCCAAAGTGTTATTAAGCCTAATTTATAAAATTATTTTTAATTTAATTGGCTCTCAATAAATCAAATATATGCGTACAAAATTATTCACAGCTCATAAGAGCACAGCCACCACTTTTTTTCCTTTTTATTTTTTCTAAAAATAATATCTGCTTTACCAATCAATAATTCTGGCCTCTCCACCGGATCCATTCGGCCTCGAAACATAGCCCAACCATTTCGCCCATAAAAACCAGTCAAATTGGGCCTTATAGAGCCCAAATCCTGAAAACCCCCTTGTAGATTTAGAAGGAGAAAGACACAGACTGTACTGTAAACCAGGAAAAAACCCTAGAATTAACTTTTTGCAGTCGACGACACTGCCATGGAAGAGCACGAACATATCCTTTTTGGTTTTTGCAGTCGGCTCCGGCTGTTATCGCAGTTTACCACCCAACTATCCGTCGCTGTCGCTGTTGCCGTCGCCGTCGGTTCCGACCTCCGCGTCTTCAACTCGAGTAAGCTCTCTCTCTCTCTAGTTTTTTTTTTCTGTTTTCTATAAATCAAAGATAGTATGCGAGTAAGTCACTTAGTTGCATCAAGNCATGGTAAGCTTGCGACTTTCTAAAAGCACGTGTTTGGCCTGTGACTTGGGCGATCAAATGGATTGAACATTCCAAGTTCCTCTTTCAAAATGGTCACATGGTGTTGCTTTACTGCACCATTATTTTTCTGTACTGTTAGTATTTCAGACACACTTTTCCATCTGGTTGTCATTTTTTATGGCTACTGGGCAAGTGAGACTGCTCATGCATCATCAATGTTTTAATCTATTTCTCTGGTTTCCTAAAGGCAGGATTTATGAAGGAGAGCTATTCGGCCATCACCTGTTTATGTGCCACTCCTGATGGCCCCTTAGTTTCAATGGCCATTCAAAGGCAAGCCTCTTGGCATTCCTTAGGTATATCATGTTGTGCCCTTCCAAGGGATTTGTTGAATTATGGTTATATAACTTTTACTGTTAAATTTTCCACTCACAGTTCAATATCTCGTGGTTTGCTTTAGATTTTCAAAAACAGTGTTCTTATTCTTGAACTCTGTTCTTGATTTGATTCCTTGTAGAGCTGATTCATGTGGTACGTATGCGTGCACATTATTCTTCCAATTCATAGCATTGCAAGAGACTATGATTATGACGCCTAAAGACTATCGACAGTTTCTAATACGCTATCTTGTCTCCACTTCACTCCACTTACTCGCTCTGCTCTCGTCATTATCCTCCTTCCGACTCAGGTGTGTACTTTAGACTTGCTTTTTTCTCCATTATATACTATAGCCATCAACTTTACCATTTTTTTCAAGCGTTGTCTACATCACAATAAACTCTGCAACCACTTGGCTTCCAACTCTAAAACATCTTTCTACTACTCTCCTATAAGAGATATTTTGGACGGTCCACATAATAGCTTCCTCATGGTGTACGTGGGTCAATCATGAGGTGGCAGACACTAAGACTAATCTCTTTCAACTACTAAAAATTGTCTTGAAAATATCTGTTCTGAATTTGTCCCCAAAAATTGTCTTGAAAATATCTGTTCTGAATTTGTCCCCAATAGAAAACTCAATAGGAATATGTTGGTTTTACCATTCTTAGTTGTTATTCATGGAAATCAATGTTTTGAGGAATATAGTTTTTTTTTTTTCAAATTCTAATGTATCTATCGTAGGTAACGTACCATTGAATAGACTTAAGAAAAATGTATTACAGGGATGTGAATCGATAGTTATATGCCTCAGTTCAGGCAATGATGCAGAAGTATACTTGGCAAATAAATGAATGATACTTCCACTTGATTAGTGAACAAGGTGGGCTCATATGACACTAAACCTATGGAAAAAAGACACTTGTTATGGGTCCCATTGCGAGGTTGTCTTTGTGATGATGTCAAGTGGCACTAATAGACTGGTGTAATCGTGCCACAATTTTATTTCTTTTTTGGGCCGTAACTACGCCACCTGTTTCAAAAGGATACGTTGTTTTGTTGAAATTTCCCTTTTTTGCCCAAAAAGGGTGGAAAAAGATAAATGAAAAAGAGTAGTGCTGTGGGCGTAATAATAAGATGAGATTAGAGATAGATATGAAAGAGGACAGGATAAATGAGCGGGTTGGAATGTGATACAACATTATTATTGATAATATTAATAATTTAACGTCACATCTTTTACTTGTAATATATTGGTGTTGAATTGTAATATTATATGATTATAATTATTAATATCACTCTCATACTAAATTTATATATTTTCGGTTGAGAGATATTCTCACAGTCGAAAATCAAAATTTTTTTTCTTGATCAGTTAAAATTATTTATGAAATTAGAAGACAATTGTATGCCTCCTTTGATATCTCTTTGGAGAATTGTCTTTCCTAACACCCCCCCCCAAAAAAAAAAAAAACCAAAAAGGGAAACCCTACGGTATTAAAAAAAAAAATTAGTATCAGTACCAGCGGTTATTACTTTGTATGATAAAGTTACAATTTTGTAAAGAAAAGTTATAACTGTTCATGTCTAATGAAATTGTAATTTACACCTTAAAAAAATTGTAATTTAGCCTTAAAAAATTTATAACTTTCGATGCTGGTACCACAGGCGGTATTGTAGAAGTTCCAAAAAAATATAAAAACTTGTTAATTATTTTGTAGAAATAGTTTTGGGGTTGCCTTGCCTACCTGAATACTTGTTAATTATTTAAGTGATTGAAAGTATTGATTTCGTGCAAGATTTTGCTAAAATTCCAGTGTCACCCTTCTTTTTGTCCTCAATCATACTTCTCTCACGCTCATACAAACACATGTATACATACAAGCACAGAGAAATACAAATTGCATTTGGCGGAATCAAGACCAAATCATTTTTCTGAATTCATTCTTTTTCTCTTCTATTTCCGCCCTATAATCGAACCCCTAAAAGATCCAATCTCTCTCTCTCTCTCACTCACACACAGTTCTAGATAATTGGGCTCACAAGCGCAAAACGTATTCATTGTCGGAGAACTGAGACAAATTGCTTTAGAGAACCTTTACTTTAACCATGGAGATTGAAAATTCAGTCAATCAAGTACATTCTGAGACTCGTTTAAATCCATTCTCGTATAAAATATACGTCATTATCTAGGTCATATGAGCAAGTTCAGACGACGGTGGTGTTCAGTTCTAAAAGAGGGGTTGTGTATGGAGGGAAAAATCGGTGATTTTCAGTGGTGAATTAGTTGTTTGGGCAAGGAGGACTCCAACGTTAAGAATCGAGTGCAAAGCTTTTGATTAACAAATTGTTCGTAAGTTGATTTTAACTTGTTACCCACATGAGTTAAAAAACACCATTTTTTGTTAAAGCCGATAATTGAGTCAAGTTACTAAAATTCGGTTAGTTTTGGGTTCAATTAGAAAATGAGTTGAGTTGAAACAATTTTTTAGATTTATTTAAAAAAAAACGAGTCTAAAAAGACTTGGGTTAAATTCACAAAACTTGAATTCTTTATAGGTAAAATAGTTGAGTTATTTTGGCTCGATTCGGGTTTGAAAATGAGTCGAATTTGAATAATTTTTTAAATTAAATTATCAATTATATTTTTGATTAGTTTAATTCGATTATTTATCGTATTTTTTATTATTGTAATATTTTATTATTGTTATTCAAAAAAATTAAAATCAATAACAGCGGATGAAGACGAAAATTTTGAATAAAGGGGGCTTTGATATGTTTTGGTTGGTGATCATCGGGCGGTGATAAAACTTAAAAAGGTCAATGTGGTCAGTGGTAGCCCACTGTTTTTCACACACAACCTCCAAAAGAAAAGGAAGGGTCGAAAGTAAAGTGGGCCACCCTGATTGGGGGTCCTTCGTCAATTATTCATTTCAAATCAGTGGCTTGTCAGAGGCACGCCTCAGGCCCANTGTTTTGAGGAATATAGTTTTTTTTTTTTCAAATTCTAATGTATCTATCGTAGGTAACGTACCATTGAATAGACTTAAGAAAAATGTATTACAGGGATGTGAATCGATAGTTATATGCCTCAGTTCAGGCAATGATGCACAAGTATACTTGGCAAATAAATGAATGATACTTCCACTTGATTAGTGAACAAGGTGGGCTCATATGACACTAAACCTATGGAAAAAAGACACTTGTTATGGGTCCCATTGCGAGGTTGTCTTTGTGATGATGTCAAGTGGCACTAATAGACTGGTGTAATCGTGCCACAATTTTATTTCTTTTTTGGGCCGTAACTACGCCACCTGTTTCAAAAGGATACGTTGTTTTGTTGAAATTTCCCTTTTTTGCCCAAAAAGGGTGGAAAAAGATATATGAAAAAGAGTAGTGCTGTGGGCGCAATAATAAGATGAGATTAGAGATAGATATGAAAGAGGACAGGATAAATGAGCGGGTTGGAATGTGATACAACATTATTATTGATAATATTAATAATTTAACGTCACATCTTTTACTTGTAATATATTGGTGTTGAATTGTAATATTATATGATTATAATTATTAATATCACTCTCATACTAAATTTATATATTTTCAGTTGAGAGATATTCTCACAGTCGAAAATCAAAATTTTTTTTCTTGATCAGTTAAAATTATTTATGAAATTAGAAGACAATTTTATGCCTCCTTTGATATCTCTTTGGAGAATTGTCTTTCCTAAC